TAATTCGAAGTCAAGGCCTCGACGGAGTCGACGCGATGAAGCCTTTTTCTTGCCTCGACGCACACCCGCTTCTAATTCGAAGTCGAGGCCTTGACGGGTGTTGGACAGAGTCGACGCGACGGAGACTTTTTTTCTTGCCATCTCTCTCTCTCTCTCTCTCTCTATATATATATATATATATATATATGAGTCGGTGAAACTCCGACGAAACAGTTTGTCACAGCCCCTCGTTTGTTGTCCTCTTCTCCCTCTGGCGATGAGTATTTACAGCAGTGTTGGTATATGGCGATGAGTATTACATTTTGATACAAGTTAGATTATCGTCTGATTTTCTTATTGGTATATTCATTGTTGTTTTTTTGTGGTGGTCTCTGCAGACAGACAAGTGTCTGGTGAAACCAACGCGGTGGTGGACAGATGTATGGCAAGGGGGGTCGAGGGATCATCGCGGTCTGATTGGGATAAGGCCGCATATGATGATGCAATGGAGTCATTTGACCATCCCCTCATTAAAGCTCACCTGAAAGATAAGTACATTGAGAAGTGTGAGGAATGGTACAAGTATACCACGGCAAACAAGATTCATGAGAGAGAACAACGTTTGCATGAACCTCAGTCTAAAATGCGGTATGGTGTTGAAGGTAAGCTTCCCAATGATTTTGCATTGAGGAGGGTATGTGGCCGCTACCTCACAGACAATGAAGGCCTTCGATGGACTCAGGATGAGCTACTAGAAATGTTGAAGAAGAAGGAGGAAGTGAATGTACTGAGGAATGCATTTATGAAAGTTGAGTTGAATGCACTGTCAGTGGTTGGAAGTTTTGTCGAAGCGAAACGAAGTGAAGAGGTAAGAGATTCCTCTGTGTCCGGTGTTGGGGTTGTGAAGAAGGAGGCGGATGCTACTGAGGACATGGACAAAGAGTTTAAGCATTTAATTCAATCGTCCAATAGAAACGATTTGTTAGACGAATTTTGTAAGCTTAGTACTAGATTTGACCCGCACCTGTTGCAAGAGTGTGACAATTTGCGTCGGCGATTAGAAAAAAACGAGAGTGGGATAAGAAAAATATTGTTGGTAGGTGCCTTACCATCGATTGATTTTTCTTTTGCCTCGGACCTGTTTGAGATTCCATCGAGTGCAACTTTGAAAGACATTCAAAAAACGTGTTTGATTGCTATGTTAGAGTCATTGCGAAATGTTGGTTCAGAGCTGACACACAAGAATGCACTCTTAGAGGTGAAAAATGCGATGAAGTTTCCGATAAGTGATAGTCAGTTGAGGGGAACAGTGATCACACTTGGACATTTGTACAAGCAGACACGGGAAGAGTTAATGGATTCAGTGTTCAGCGATAGTTTTCCTGATCGATGTGATGACGGATTCACAAATGGCATGCTGACATGTTACAAAGAACAGTTGTACACTCTGAGAATTTTGTTGGCGAATGTCATTGATGCTCCTTCGCCAATGCGGTTTATGAAGGAGATGGAGCATATGAAAAGGGAATTGAATGCTCTCGCGAGCATAAACAAGGAATATGAGACAAGATTGCATGAGGTGGTGTTTGGGTTGGTTGAAGCACGTAGGCATCCGTGTCCTAAGTGTTGCCGCTTAGTAAGCCATTTGAGAAGGGGGGACTATAGAATGTTTAACGATTTGACGGTTGTTAGACGTAAGTGTGACAACACGACAAACCTTTATCCTGATGGAGATGCCATTGCAACAGCAGTTAGCAATGGAAGAAAGGAGGAGGCAACTTCGTGGACGTGACGATGTAGATGAGTAGTGCAATTTGTCTTTGTCATTGACTATGAGGTGAATTGTATTCTAGCAATAAAAATAGGAGTGGCTAGAGTGGGATAGACACATGGCTACGATCCGGACCACCGGACAGGGATCCGGACCGTCCGTGGTCCGGGGTCCGGGGTCCGGGTCCGGATCTTGGTCCGGATGAGAGGGCAACAGCACAAGGGGCGTGAGCAGCTGCGCAGCGACCAGCGTGCGGAGAGGCGCGTGCAGCAGGGCGAGCGGCACGTGAAGCAGGTATGTCTCTCTCTCTCTCTTTCTCTCTCTCTCTCTCTCACACACACACACACACACACACACACACACACACACACTTCCAGATGAGTCATGAAAGCCTGACGAAACAGTCCGGCACAGTCGTGCTTTTTTTGAGTGTATAGCAAATGTGCCAACACACACACACACACACACACACACACACACACACACACACACACACACACACACATACACACACACACACACATGCACACACACTCTCTGTGAAAGTACAACGAAACAGTCTGGCTCAGTCATGCTTTTTTTGAGTGTATAGCGAATATGACAACACAACACACACATACTCTTCCTCGTGGTCGTCGTCCTCCTCCTCCTACACACACACGCACACACACGTGCTTCCTCCTCCTCCTCCTCCTTCCCCTCCTCCTCGTCAACAAAGCCCTATGTTCCC